GTATCCCCCTCTTGGGTTTGGCTCCCATGCCAAACATTCCAACCGGAGTCGGAAACTGTTAGCAAGAGAAGTCCAAAGGGATACCGGTATGACTTGATAACCAAGGCCGAATGATTTGAAAGTTGGGGAAATTCGTCAACGAATTTTTTGATGAAGATTTTTGAAAATTTTTATTGAGGACGGAAAAGTCCAAGCTGATCACGTGCCCGGCCCGTGCGCCGAGTCACGTTCTCGGTGCCGTAAGTTGACATGTCAACAACTCTTCTGCTTTCTACCACCACCCGGAAACCAACCGTAACAACAACATGTCCGCGACCACCAGCAACACGAATGGAGCAGAAGGGAGTGCAGGGGATGGTGCTGGGCAGGGAGCGGGACGGAACGGTGGTGAAAACATCGGAGGAGGAGGAAAGGGGAAAGGAAAGGCGACCGCGCGCCAAATCCAGGACGACGAGGCGCAGGAGGCTGCAATGGAGCAAGCAGCGACTCAACGAGCGGAGGTCTGAGCTGCAGCGTCAGCTCAGAGCTCTGGTCCGGGCGCCCAAGCCGGAGTCGCGGTCGGAGGCGGACAAGAATGCTCGATGTCTTCTCATTATATGAGAAGAGCTCGATGCGCTCGGTCCCCACGTCAGCATTGTGGCTTTGGTGAAGAAGGTGCTCACCGAACCCCGTCATGAGACTCCAGGACCCGTGGTGCAGCCGGGCGACTCCAAGGTCGCTACCGGTGGTGCTACGGGTGCCGAGGACGACGCAGACGACGAGGATGAGGGAGAGTCGGAGAGGGATGAGGAGGAGGAGGAGGACGAGGGCAAAGCCCCGGATTCCGGTGATGACCGGAGTGCGGAGTCCGACCCCGACGACGGGATGGAGGCCAACGACACGGAGGTCGAATGGCCCAACCCCGACTACGTTCGTTTCGAGGGTGATGAACGTACACCTCTTATTTTTTTCGTTTTCTTTTGATTTTCTTTTTGCTGAAAGTTTTGAATTTTTTAGGATGTGGCAATTGCCAAATAAAAGACCACGCGTGTCTCCGGTTGCGGGAAACCCGCAAGAAGACATGCGAATCGTGCCGCCGCAAGCGAACAAAATGTTCGTTTCAACCCGCCCACCACCAGGATCAACAAACGATCTGTCTCGCGCCAGGCCGGCCCCTCTCACCGAGCTTCCGGTGACTCCGGGCGTTCCAAACGTCCCGGAAGCTCGTCTTCGCAGCGGGGGACGAAGCATCGCCAATTCTAGCGACGGAGACCGGAAACCGTTCTTCAAGACAGGCTTCCGGGGCGACGGTTTCACCGGTCTGGAATCCAAATGGTACTCCAGTACCAAGTCCCGTCCGGCCAAGAAACCCCGGACCACCTCACGCGCCCCAACTCCCTCCACCTCCAAACGACCCTTCGACGATTTGGTCCGCCAGTTCTACAATTACGTGGATGGACTGGAGGAGCAGATCGAGGGTTTGGAGGAGGAGGTGGAGTCCCTCAACAGCGAGCTCGTCGTGGAGCAGACGAAGAACAGGAGACTCCACGAGGGCTATGAAAAGGCGAAGAGACTCATGGGAGAGGCCCAGGATTCGGAGCAGGGTGTGGAGAAGGAGCTGATGAAGAGCCAGGAAATTATCGACCAGCTCCGGGGTGAGCTGATGATTTACCAGAAGCAGGTGAATCTTCCGTTGCACGCTTTCCGCAATGTTCTGCTGACTCCGGAACCGGGGTTCGACTTCGGTCCTTTGGTTCCTCAACCGCAGGAGTCAATTTCCCCATCGCCCCCTCCCAGCGACGAAGACGTCGATATGGATCTCGGCTCGCCCATCGAGTCCGGTCCGGTGTTGGAAACCGGAACCGGAGCCCGAACACGGGAGTCGTCGATGTCGGAGGATATGGCGAGGCCGCCCCAATTGGGTGATGCTGAGTGGGATGGGGGTTCTCTTGACCAGCGCGGGACACCGCGCATGGGTCGAGAGATTACCCCGGCTCTGGGCCAAATCACGACTGCCCGGAGCTCTGGTTCTCGCACTCCGGTCCTCGGAACTCCCATCTTCTTCGAGAGTGGCGACGAAGATGAACGCTCACCCCGCCTACCAGCCGTCGAGGTTCTCCCGAAGGTGGAACCAGTTGAGCCGGTCATTCCGGATACTCCGGCGACTGCCGGAGTGGAATCGACGGAGAACGAGGGGAGATGGACGACGGAGGACGGGAGTTGATGGAGCGGGACGCAGCAGAGGAGCGGGAGATGGTTGGCGGTTGTCGACAGCGCAGTCGAGGATGAGATCCCGTCGGATCTCAGAAACATCCTCGGCTCCGCGATGGATGTCGACGTACCGGGGATGTTAGAGGCATCGGGAAGCGGAAACGGAGCGAGTGGGAGTGGGGGCTCGACGACCAAGGTAAAGGTCGAGCAGCCAGAACGTCCAGTTCCGGTTCTGGGCCCATCCCGGCAGTTTCGCGTCGAGCGATTGGAGGTTAGGCGGGGGCGAAAGGCAGGGGAAGAAGGTGAAGGTGATGTGGTGAAGAGATATGCGGAGATAATTGTGCTGAGCGACAGCGATTGAATATGTAGATTTGTTGTACTTGTTTTGTTGATTTTCTTGGAGCTATAAAAAATGTAAATACACAATGATTCATTTGAAACGAACCAGAGTGATGAGGAGTGAGGTCCGGACAAGACCAACCAGAGTTTAAGGACTCCGGTGAATACTCCGGAATTCCGGACACTACCGGAATGCCCATATGTGTTACATCCATGCACGGATAACTCGAACGAAGGTCCGAGTGCAGCCCAATGACTCCGTTCCGAGATTCACTCCCGAGTTTTCGGAGTATTGTAGGAGTCAGCACATCCATGCATCGATGCTTCGGACCTGCTTCGGACCTCGCTCCGAGCTGACCAATCACTCCGGTTGAACTCCGACTCCGGATTACCTAATTCATCCCGAACATCATTCTGAGTCAGATTCCACACCATACACCATGTCCTGTGTCTCCTGTGATATCTCACGCATGGGACTCGCACTCCGATCCTGCTGTCACACTCTGGTCACGCTCCGCTCCGCATCACGGAGCTGTCAGGAGTAACCACGCAGGTTTGGATTCTGTGCTATGGCACCATCCAACTCGTTTAACAATGGTCTGACATGTTCCTGTCTTCTTACTTATTGTTCCAGTACTTCTTATCTGTCACATGACTTCTTCCTCTCCTTTTGGTACTCAGCTTTATTGTTGCGTCCACATCTTCTACTTACCTTTATTGTTACATCCACATGCTTCACTACTTATCTCCTTTATGCATTACAATTAGCCTCCTTACTATTTAACCTCTTAGTCTACTCCCTGTAAATCAGTTTGATTATTAAAGTTGCTTCACCCCATTCCTCGTGAAGTAATCTGAGTCTCTGTCTGGAACTCACTGCGGACCTCACCCGCTTACTCCTGTCCATCCGGATGAAGGGAAGTATGCTCACACTACGTCTCCCTGTTGTGTAGCGCTACTCCGGTCCCCCAGTTCTCTGTACCCCGCGCTCTGACACTCCGGCACTCCGCACTCCGACACTCTGTCGCTCTGATCACTCTGATCTGGAGCCCGGACCCATCGGACCCATCACACCTCTGGTCCGGACCTCTCCCTTCATCCCTCTGTCTATCTCTGAAGACCAAGGCAGTACGCTCGCGCATGACCTGTCGTGTTGTGTCATCCAGCCCGCCGATCTTCATCATTCGACCCCGGTCTCTGGTTCCGTTCTGTCCGGCCCCCAGCTCCGGTTCGGAAGGTGTCTGATCGTTTGGTTGGCCCATATCCTAACCCCTCTGCTCGGATATAACAATATGTGATCATGAATGAGCGTAGTGATCCAGGAATAGAAGGTGAAAATAATGGATAGAAGTGAGGTGAAGTTTTGAAGATGGTGACTTCGGAAAAGGTTTTCCAAGACGACCATCCAGAGTTCCGGTCCCGATAACGGTATCCGGAGTTCGGAGATCAGACTGGATTACAATCCCAATGTCGGTTAAGTAGAGGGAATTATGCCAAGAATAGAAGTAGGGAGTGCGTGGCATGTGGATTAGGTTGATTGACGATTCATGGAGGGAAATCTGCCAAGACCTTGTGGGAACTGCAATTGGAACTTGAACACCGATGTGCTGATGAGACAAAGGATTCTCCGAATGTTGAATGCGCCAACTCCAGCTACTCGCTGGCCTCGACGAGAGGTCTCCGATATTCCGGAGTACGACCGGAGGTTGCTGGAGTAGAACGGTGAGTGGATTTAACACATTCTGGCATTCTGTTATATCCATGCAACCACACCCCTGGACAATGGTCTTCGTCACCCAAGACCACTCCGGTTCTCTACGGGCACTCCGGTCCACTCTGGTGTTTCCGGAGTCAACCGGAAACCCAGAGCCAACCGGAAACCGGGGGTATTAGTATTGGAATGACTTCTTGCGGTCAGTCGTGGCTGGTATCAAGTGGTAACAACCTCTCCACATGTTCCCTCTTGCCTTCCATTGCCTCATGGCAGATTTCATCACCTCATGTTTCATTTCCCAAGATCAATACTGATACAGGTCGAACTTCTCTTACCGCTTATGGACTTCCTATTCTTTCAACCATATGCTCGTTCACATGTTACTCCTTTATCTCCTTTACACTAAATTAGGATCCTACACTATTTAATCAGCTAGCATACTCCCTGTTCTTCAGTAGTTTAATAAACGTCGCTTTCCCCCCTCCGGAGTGCTGTCAGTCGCTCCTCTCTTCCCCCAGACCCTTCCTCTTCCTCTAGATGATACCTGGCAGTACACGCTCACCCTGCACCTCAGTGGTGTTGTGTCAAGCAGCTCCGCTGATCCCCTCTGTCGACTCTGGTTACTCCGGCCTACTTTCCGGCACCCCGGTTATTCCGGTTATTCCTTGGCTGACTGTTCCACTATCCCTTTTTCCCGTGGCTCGACATATAAGAATCAACCGTGTGTCAACTCCTTTTCTTTGGCGTTCGTAGAGTAGACCTGGTGGCGTAACTGGTAACACGCGCATTTGTAGTACTGTGAAAAGTCACAGTGACTCGTAATCCTCCAAATGCGAGACCCTCGTTCGATTCGAGGTCAGGTCATGTACACTTTTTCCCACAGGAGAGAATCAACCGTGGGTCAACTCCTTTTCTTTGACGTTTGTAGTGTAGACCTGGTGGTTGTAATGGTAACGCGTGCATTTGCAGTTGACTTCTCCTCATAATATTCAAATGCGAGTCCCTCGTTTGATTCGAGGTCAGGTCGTGTTTGCGACATTCCTTCCTTTTTCTGTGCATGCTCTGTAGTGCGTGTTTGCCTTTTTCAGCCACAGAGGGAGTGGATCACAAAGTGATAGCTCACAGCATATGGACACGATTGACAACATGGATATATGGAACCAATTTCCACGGTTCACCACGGCAATACCATGACTACGGAATTGCACATGGCCTGAGGCCAGCATCCGTGGCTGCTTTCAGACATTTTCTGTGAACGTTTAACTCCATTAGTCTACGAACTTTCTTTTATATGTACTCTCTGTGGTTCCTATGGACTATTACCTCATTTTCCATCAGACTCTCGACTTCCTTTCCCACCTCTATCCAATTACTATAAAACCCCATCTACTCTCTCCAGTTGGTTGCCCACCAGCAATACATCTTACCTTTCACATTTCACCCTTTGGTCCCTCATCACCCTCAATGTCCACCGCCTATGTCATGTCTTTCATTGCCATCATTCTGTCCTTTGTTGTCCACATCCACACCACCATATCTGCTACAGTTCCCATCCTGTTTCCTTGTGTGGCTTACCAGCCAAGTACTGAACTTGGAGTGACCCACTTGCACCCCTGTTTCATGGTCATCAGAGCATTGAGTTTGATGTTTGTTGTGTCAGTTCTTGCTCTCAGACATGTTGTGAGCACATCACCATGTTCTTTGAGAGGCCATGAGTCAAGCCACGAAAAAAAAAAACATATATCAATGACTACCCAGGCACCATAAAACAAAGGATGGCTTTATGAGCTGGAGTTCGGCCTTCAAATTCAGTCGTGGTCAAGGGGGAAAATGTTTCACAACTTGAATGGCCAACTTAGTGACAATGTATTTTGACCTCGAGCAAGTTATCCTGGTTGCCCATAGATATCTGGGCAGAGGGAAAGTGCCACCCCTGTGCTACTACTGACACCCTTTGCCACCAGGGGCCGGCAGCGGGGGCAGCAGTAGCAACATCAATCTTATATTGAATGATTAGTCAAAGAATGCTCTGCTCCACTACCAGACCAAAGCTTGTATGCTTCCAATCTCTCAGCAAATTTGACACCTTGTTCCTATGTGTCTTGGATTCTTTTTTAGAGGTGCTTGACTCTGTTCAGCACACTCTCTCCTTTTTTCATTTCCTTTCACTCTTCAATCATTCAGCCTTGGCATTTGGGGCCAAGTCAATAATTGGGTTTCATGTCTTGAACAAAAGTGGAAAATGCTCATCTAGGACATTTAATAAATGTACTCTACCAAGCCCGCTTAATTCCTGGCATGGAATTCTCTTTTCCGTGCTCCGGTCAGGACTTGCATGTCCAGAGACTATGCTCCATCAGGGTAAGAGCTCACCGGAGAACACTTCACAAGTGTCTCCTCCATTGCACCTCTGTCCTCAACTTACGCCCATGTCTCAGGTCCATGTGTCACCTCAACTGGTCACTGGAAAAGCCTTAAAATCAGTTCTGCAGCTCGTTTTCTGAGGTTTCTCTGACTCCGCTTGCAACATCCTGTTGTGGCTACGTCGAGAACCTCTTCACACCAACTCCGGTAGAACGGGGTTGGACTCTGTGGTCATGTTCCATTCTTTGGTTGCTTGGACCTCTGGAACACTACGACTATTTCAATATAAGAAAGGCCAGTCAAGCATCACCTTGGTGACTTGCTCGCCAGCTTGGTAATCTTGCACACCGCAGTACAACCACTAGATTTGGGAAATTTCTGGAACAAGCGCTCTTCAACTGGAATAAATCCCTTTTCTCTGAGCAATTCCTTGCCTTCAAGGCAAAATTTTGGTGTCATGCCAAATCGACTCTATTCCAAACAATTCGCAGTAGCCTGTGAGAGGTCTACCCTGAGAGGGGGATACACCCATGCAACTCTACATACAAATAAAAAATTCCTTGCAAATTTGGTCACTGTCTTAAACATTCGGCATCAAAGCAGGAATTATTGGAGTCATTCCTGTCTTTCCGGACTTGCTGTCTTCACAAATATGACATGGAGGTTTCATAATTAACACCTGCATTGGACTGTTCATCAAAACTTTCATGATGCCCAAGGAGTACATTGAGCCACCAGAGATAGAAGTGATGATAAAGAGTGATCATATCATTGCTTCTACCTCTGGTGGCTCAATGTCCTTAGCATGTACTCCTTGGGCACCATAAAGGCAGACTTCAAAAGAGTGATCATCTTGTATTGTTCATTGTCATTGATCTCTGTCCTGCAATGTTATATCTGAGTCGTCCAGAAGGTGGTACAGGGGATATAAGGCCAGTTGGACTAACAACAGATACAAAGCGGAGTGGCGGGCCGGACAGAACGGAACTAGAGTCTGGAGTCGGAGCTAGTGAAAGGCGGACTGGATGATGCTACGCCACAGAGGGGATAATTGGGCGAACATTACTGCAGGATATCGTCAGAGTGAGAGAGATGATAGAAGCGGAGCTCCAGCAGAGTGTCAGAGTGGAACAACCAGATTACTTCACAAGGAATGGGGTGAAGCAACATTTATCATAAAACTGAAGTACAGGAGGATGTAGAACAACATTAAATACTAGAGCTCCTTATTGTAATAAGTAAAGGAGATATGTTAGAAACCATGTGGACATAATAATAAAGGTAAGTCCGAAAGGGGAGGAAGAAGTCAGGTGACAAAAGGAACAATGTTGAACAATAAGTAAAAAGTCGGAGGACATGGGATGAATAAGGAATGTGTGGGATGGTGTCTTGCCATGGGGTCAGATGGTGGGAGTTCGTTCCAATGTTTTGTCGGAGCTCCAATCCTTCTGATACTCCGGCAGTCCAATGCGCTCTGAGATGACAGAGCGCGATTGGAGCCGGAGGGACCGATCAGAGTGGTTCGTCAGAGGTCATGACACTGGGTGCAAGCCACCATTTGCAGGCTCTGCAAATTATAAGCAAATTGTAAGCAAATTCATTAATTGCCAAGCATTTGCTTCTTATTTGCAAGGTGTGCAAATTGAAAGCAAATCAGATGACCAAACAATCTGAAAAAGGCAATAATTATAAACTCTTTGATATTTCAACATCTCAGCATCACAAGGCCTTGGCATCGTTGCTTGGGAAAGACAAGTGTGTGACAGTGCCTTGCACAACACAGGTTTGCAGAACCCGCGGTATTATGGGTACAGGTGTCACGGGTGTGGATACAGTCATCAATTCTTGGCACAGCGTGAATACTGTGACCCGCGGCATTCCGTACCCGTAATACTGCCACACCTGACCTGCTGCTCTCAAATAGATACCATAAGGGATTTGAAGCAAAGATCTAATGGATTCAAGGGATATTTGAGATAAGGGGCTCCAAGCTTCCATCTGAGCTAAAGAACCATATTAGAGCATGATTATAGGTTATGGAGGGGAACAGGTTGGGTTGAACCACACAATTCCTTTTTGGGATGACAGCTACACACCAACAAACAATGCTTGATTTGACTTGTTCTCAACCACTATTGCATCCATAAATCTAGGAAATTTTTGAGAGGTGTGGGCCTAGTAGTGAGACATTATGAGCACCAGCTGCTAGCACTGATACAGCTGCAGTACATAATATTCAGAGATAACCGGGTTTTTGCAGCAAAAATTACATGAAATAGAATCTGTGAGGTCACTTCTACAGTTCCAATAGCTGACTTAGGCTCTCTGACTCTTCTATTACCTTGAGTTAAGATACTGGCACCCCACATATTTTGATCACATGCACTCAGGATGAAATCCTAGCCGCATGTGACCTCCTACCATAAGTGGATGTTCACCAAAAAAAGACGATAACTTTAGAATTGAGATTACACATATAAAGAAGGGCAGAATCACTGAACCATTGAGCAAGGCCAGCCCATAAGAAGAGCTACAGGGATGTCTGATGCTATGGGATTCTGAACTAAACAAATCACATCCCTGCCTGAACTCTTTATTTCCCTTTACTTATGCTTAGTCAACTATGCTGGAAATTGGAGGCAGAGACTTTCCTTTAAATGTGAAAGGACTGATGGGAGCTGTTATATCCGAGCCGAGGGGTTTAGGATATGGGCCAACCGAACGATCAGACACCTTCCGAACCAGAGCTGAGGGCCGGACAGAACGGAACCAGAGACCAGGGTCGAATGATGAAGATTGGCGGGCTGGATGACACAACGCGACAGGTCATGCGCGAGCGTACTGCCTTAGTCTTCGGAGATAGACAGAGAGATGAAGGGAGTGGTCCGGACCAGAAGTGTGATGGGTCCGATGGCTCCGGGCTCCGGATCGGAGTGATCGGAGCGACGGAGCGTCGGAGTGCGGAGCGCCGGAGTGACGGAGGGCGGGGCACAGAGAACTGGGGGACCGGAGTAGCGCTACACAACAAGGAGACGTAGTGTGGGCATACTTCCCTTCATCCGGATGGACAGGAGTAAGCGGGTGAGGTCCACAGTGAGTTCCAGACAGAGACTCAGATTACTTCACGAGGAATGGGGTGAAGCAACTTTAATAATCAAACTGATTTACAGGGAGTAGACTAAGAGGTTAAATAGTAAGGAGGCTAATTGTAATGCATAAAGGAGATAAGTAGTGAAGCATGTGGATGTAACAATAAAGGTAAGTAGAAGATGTGGACGCAACAATAAAGCTGAGTACCAAAAGGAGAGGAAGAAGTCATGTGACAGATAAGAAGTACTGGAACAATAAGTAAGAAGACAGGAACATGTCAGACCATTGTTAAACGAGTTGGATGGTGCCATAGCACAGAATCCAAACCTGCGTGGTTACTCCTGACAGCTCCGTGATGCGGAGCGGAGCGTGACCAGAGTGTGACAGCAGGATCGGAGTGCGAGTCCCAT